CTATAAAAACCAAAAAGTAGTCTGATAAAATCAGCCAGGTAGTGACTTGGCATGTTATAGACTGAGTTTGAGTTCTTCAGATACATATCCTCCACCTGTTTAATTAGGACTGTGTCAACACATATTTATGTTGTCACTACACATTTTTCCCCCCTCAATTCCTAAAACTGAAATCTCCCACAGGAAGAAAAGTAAATACCCCCATGACTAAAACGTTTTGGGAGGTATGTTAAAGGATACACAGAAAATACGTAACACTGAAGCTTTCAGCCATTAAAAGCTGTTTAAATAACAACAAGAGCCATTATACAATCACACAAGTATTCTAGCAGCTGATATTAAAAAAAATTCATTACATATTATGATAATTGAAGTAATGTAAAATAACTTACTGTTATTGAAAGTGTCTCATTCTTGTGATCAAAAAGTATTTTTCCAGAGCAAGCTCGAATACGTAATAAATGGTCAAAGTAGAGTTTGCATCGTAAAGAAAGGTGCCTTGATTCAGTTCAATCAAACAAACAAACACACATTCATTAAGGTCAGTAAGTTTTCAAATACAACAGATTTTTATCAACAGTTCCACATCATAATCTCATATAAAAGATATAAAGGAATTTGTTTCCTTTGTCATTCCTCTTTTTATATAATCTTATATATTAAGCCCTGCTCCATTAATAACATTTTCCAAATCAATTACACTGGGAACTGGACACGTTGGAGAGAATCACTGACACAGATTAAGGTAAGAAATCCAGAGGTAGAGGCTTTGTATTTTCTAGAAGTCTCTTTCAATATATTGGAAGCTTTCTACACCATTCTTCCACAACTTCCAACAGAAAATTACCACATTCCACTTCTTTCCCATGCTTTAGAACTGCACTGTAAGGACAGTAAAGAATTTAAATGGACTCTGCAAGACTCTGGGAAGTAAACAGCATTGAGTATTAGTTTCTCCCCCTCCCCCCCTAGTTCTAGCATACAATTCCCCAACAGACAGTAGATCACAGTTCCTTCAAGAAAGATCTATCATTCTTCAACACATCTGAAAGTGGGATTTATACTCGTATCTGGGCACTAGGGAAAAGATTCAGTTTGACATATATGGGCACCATAAGGCAAGCATCAGATTCTGCAGGTAAATGTTACCCACTACTATTTGTATACTTCCACCTGCAAAGGGTGGGATTCTCCTGATCATTGCTGTTAGTCAGGATCATACTGGCACCCCCTCCAAAGCCCACATCAAAAAGTAAAAAAAGCAGAGCCAACACAGATATCCCTCAATTTCTGCTGAAGGGAATGATAAATGATCAAAGGACTGCACTGGAAAGCAGACCATCGGTCCTTTTGAAGGGAGGCCACCACAAAACCCTCACTGGTACAGGATACTAAGGGATTCAAGCCAGAAAGAAGGGGTGCACTCCCAGTACAGACACTCCCTGAGAGAAGCAGCTGTCAAACTGCAGAATGTGAATAAAGATCTTGAAATTTCTTCAGCACAGGGCAGAGAAAAAGAGTTTGTCCTACAATGAAAGTATGTGAGCACAGCACCACTAATCATACTTAATGACAATGAGTGACAGCCCAGATGACTTCAATGCTAGTACGTTGCTGATATTTTACGGACCAAAACCAGCACTGAAACAGAACTGCTTCGGATTAGGTCAGCATAGCTGACTTCTTGGTGGGAAGCAAAATACAGCCTCCACTGATCATAAAATCCTAAAATCACAGAATGGTTTGGGTTGGAAGGGACCTCAAAGACTATCTGGTTTCAGCCCCCCTGCCATGGCAGGGACACCTCCCACTAGACCAGGTTCCTCAAGGCTCCATCCAACCTGGCCTTGAACACTGCCAGGGATAGGGCAGCCACAACTTCCTTAGGCAACCTGTTCCAGTGTGTCATCACCCTCAGGGTGAAGAACTTCTTCCTTGTATCTAGTCTAAACCTGCCCTCTCCCAGCTTCCAACTGTTACCCCTCGTTCTATCACTGCAGGCCCCTGTAAAAAGTCCCTCCCCAGCCTTCTTGCAGGCCCCCTTCAGGTGCTGGAAGGCCGCTAGAAGGTCTCCCTGGAGCCTTCTCTTTTCTAGGCTGAACAAGCCCTACTCTCTAAATTGCCAGGCACTATAGTATTGGATCTGGGAGCAAGATTAGGTTAGAAAGATTGCTGTGAATACTGCCTTAAAGAGATCTCACTCCCACAGGTCTGCTCTATAATTTTCACCCTGGAATACAGGCACATACCTACATCTACATGTTAGTTTATCTGAAACCTGAGATTTACAGTAAAATTAACTCACCTTAAAAATTGCCAGTACATTTTGAACCTCTGTGTCATTATTTCTTCCAGCAGCTCAATAAATTTCTTTAAATGCTTCACTGTACTGTTTGCATCCTCATATTTTTCCTTTGCATCATGAAATTGCCTGTTTTAATTAACAGAAAATCTAGGATCAACATGCATTACATTAAAACCAAGCTGTCGTTGGAAAGGCTGAAAAATCAACTGGACAATCAAAACATTCAAATAAAAACTTTCTAATGCTAAAAGCATTTGATGACTCAAGCAAGACCCTGTTCACAAATTAAAAGTGGTCAAAAATTAAGTTTTACTTCTATTTTTAATTCTTTTGAAAGGAACCTCTTACACCATGCTCAAGAATATCCGAGGTGAGCAACTCCTTGAAATACACTGCAGTCAAAACCTGAAGTAATTAACTTCTGCATTAGGTATTCAAACTAGAAGTATGCTTAACGCTCATTACAGAACAGCGGGGAGCTATGTTCGCACCACGTAGTCATAACTGGGATACTTCTGAACTCTAAGAAGGTACCTCGTTCTTGGCAGCTTCATATACACAGTACAGACACTGTCTGAAGTTACTGAAGGGTAGTTCAGTACTGCCTGACTGAGCAATCGGCACAGCCTGTTTGTACGTGTACCTTTGCGCATGGTTTAAGTGCTAAAAACACATACAAATGCGTCGTGAGTCAATAAGAAAATGCTTCTTTCCCCTCTCTTTTCCATCTTACCCAAACTACTTTAGACATTAAAGATGACTTACTGGACTATTTCTTCTCTGTTTCCGTGGCGATGATTTTCTGAATTTATGCTCGCTCTCAAGCGATTCATTTCTGCATCAAGGCTCTTAACAGTTCTGCTGACCTCTATGCGCTCTGAGCAGATTTGCCTAGCTTGGGCCGTTTTTTCCTAAAGTAATGTTTGAAACTCAATTAATTGTTGTATTTTAAAAAAAAATCTGTTTAGTCTTCACAACAAATATTTTGTGTTATGGAAAAACAAGGTCCCCAAGCAAGAACAATGTTTTCATATCATTCTTTATGTACTTATCACAGCAAACATTATCATTAAAAATTTTGCTAACAACTTTTATAGGCAGGTAGTTATTTCAGTGCGAAAAACTGATTCCGAGAACTTTAATATGTTCACAGTTATTTAGCTAATAGAGATAAATAAGGAACCAAATTCAAGATATTTAAATAGGAAAGTCTTCCGAATATCTTTGAGGATGTGATTTCAGAGTTAGTTAATAAATCTTGATTAGATAAGTCCTCAGAAGATCAATCATTAGGTCTGTACAAGGGAAAAACCTAGCAACCAAAACAGTATTATTCAATTTAACATAAACCACAAATTTTAAGGTTAAGTCATTTTAATCTTTTCATCACAAAATACAGAAGAAATAGTCCTAGACAGATAACCCTTAACTTATCTGTCAAGACAGAAATGGTGCTCTGCCAGAGAAAAAGAGGCCTTGATTCGCTTACAAAAAAATTACTTTTACTTGCTTTAGTCAGCTGAAGACATAGCTGAAAGAATACACAGTGCAGCTGAGTATTAATATGCTCTGTATGTTGTACAAATGGAATGATTTACTATTAAATATTAGAAGGATCATGACCATCTGACTTCAATGAAGAAAAACCAAAACATACTTACCTCTAATTCTTTTTCTTTGGCAGCTAGTATTTCTTTCTGTTTTATTACGCAAGCCAAGCGTTCTTTCTGTCTGTCTTCATAGCGCTGCAAACGATGTTTTCTGTTTTCCAGTTCTGAGTCAGCTTGGTTTAATTCATCCTGTTTGGAGTAAATCAAGATGTGAGCTGTTTGGGGTAGATTCCTAAGCATGCCTCTAATGTTTACTGACTTATCACAGATAATTATGTTGGTTTTAACACTGTCGAATTTATTTTGTTTTCAGTAAGACTACTCCTTCTGAAGTCCAGGAGTTTTAACAGCAACTTATCAGAAAGTCTATACTCTGTTCTGCTAAGGACATCAAAAATGCTTGTAACATTTTTAGGAATCACATCTTGAGGGCATGTCTTAATCTTTGGAAAAAAAAAAAAAAAAGGCATCCTTTCTCCTAAGCTTCCAAGAAACTACATTTATTTTTTACACTATATTCTAGCCAGAACTTCTGACACCTGCGTGACATTAGCCAGAACTGCATTTCTGTGTGAAAACTCAGTGTCCTGCTAAACCTACAATATGACATAGACTATAGCAACTTCTACACTACGTGAGTGTTGATACAGTAGAAGTGATATCGTATCTTTCCAGAGAAGTAAAGAAGTATAAACAATGACACAAATTAGAAGACAATTTTCTTCCTCATCCCTGTCAACTAGATGGCTTATCTTGAAAACCAAAAATAAAAACCAACTCCAAACCAAACAAAAAAACCAGCCCAAAACCACAAAACCAAACTAATAAGCAAGAAAACCAACCATCACCAACAGTAACGGATGCTCTTACCTTTTTCTAATCCTGTCTTAAAGCCACAACTTGCTATATATCAACAGTTCATTAAACAACTGTAGAACACATAGCAGTACATCTGATCTAAAATCCTTTCCTCTGTTGCCTTAGTACTGTTAATAACAAGCAATGATGTTCTACTACTCCGAATAAATCTATTCTCTTTCCTTACACGGTTCTCCTTTTTAAATAGAACATATTTTCAGAATTTCCATATTAGATTTGGAAAAACATATTTTTGATCTGTTTTCCATACCTGTTTCCTTCCTCTTGTTTGCTCTTGCTTTTTTAATTTGGGGTGATCACATAGCAATATACAAATATAAGAGACTTCCATAGTGATCTTTAAGTTTCTCCTCATTCCATCCTTCTACACGTTTACAATTCTGTAAACACGCTGCACACTTATTTCTGCTCTCCATTTTCAAGCCATTAATTCTTCTTGGCAACATGAGATTGCCTTCCATTTGCTAATATCAAATTTTGCATGTCACCACTGTGCTATTTATCTTAAGTGTTGCTACATCTCTGCGATTTCCAGGTGTCTTCTGTAGTCTTGAATAATTAAACCTATGCACTGGTACCTTCTGCAATTATGCAACTTTATGGAACGACCACCATTTCATACAGAACTTCAAACGTTACTTTGAAAACTGAACAGTTACGAGCACTCAGCCAGGCCTTCGCAGAAACAAACAAATAAGCCAAAACAACAAATGTGATGCACTAAAAAAAGAAAGTCAAGGAAACTGTTTTTCCTTCCTTTTCAGTCCATGACTAAAAACACCTGGAAACAAACTCTCTTTAAACGTAAGACACTACAGCACCTACACTTAACAGTATCATCTTCAAAGTATTGCCAAGCTTATTTCTTGACATGCTCTAGTTGGAATGCTCTATTTCTATTTTCATAGGTAGACCTTAATTGTACCAGGAAGGAGCATACTCTTTTCTCCTGCCTCCTTTTAACCTCACTCCCCTTGCCACACAAAGGGAATGAATTAGAAATACAGTATGAAATTATTCCTACCTTAATTGGACCAGCAACTTCTTCTACTTGATGAATTTTTTCTTTTATTTCTTCAAATTTTTTTTCAGCTACCTGCAGAATACTTTTCAGTTCTTCCATTTTTCTGCTTTGTTGCTTCATGTCTTTTTTTACAGATTCCATCTTACCCTTATTTTCTTCAGCTTCATCTTCCTGTCAAAACATACTAAAATTAGGACTAATAAATGGAAACGTAAATTTGAAAATTGCTGTATGAGATTTTTATTTTATTATCAATATCAGGGTACAACATTACATGAAATACTCTATAACTCTAATAAGAATATCAGCAGCTCAATGCAGTTGTCACTAAAGCCCAGAAGAGACTGATGGATCTTGTAGAAGACCTCTAAAGCAAACTGCAAAATAAAAAGTGGAATTTCCTAATTATCTGACTGAAAATTAAGGGGACTTTATTTCGGAGCTGTGGTGAAAAGACTAAAGGGGCTAGGATTTTGTGAAGACTTAGCCATGTTAATGTTTTACTACAGTAACTTTTTAAAAGAACAAGGTACTTCCTGCTGGATCTGTGAGAGTATATACATCCAGTATACAAAGAAATACAGGAGAAGTGGACTGTCACTGTTCCCTAGAAACTTATGCCATTCCTAAAGAAATTATCATCATACATATTTTCTGATTCAAAAAGACAAATATTCCAAAACCTGGGAAAAATATGTAAATGAAACTTTGTATTGCTAAGATTCTTTCATGAATGAACAATTACGAAATCAAGATAGCAATGAAAAAGAAATACAAAGTGAAAGAAGAGCAATTAATCCATAGTAGTGGTCAGAAAGTGCGGAAAACAGAAAAACAACAAAAATCCAAGAAGGAATAAGGAAAAGCAAATATCTAAAACTATCAGTTGCATAAGGTCATTATCAGAAGGCAACGGTAAAAACGTTGGTTTTGGAAAAGCAAGTGTCCGGTAATTTTTAAAGGTAATAGACCACTTTCCTCTCTCAACAAAAGGACTAAGATTTTTTTTTTTTTAAATCAACAGAACTAGATTATCTGCAAAAGAGAAACCCTACAAGAGCTTACAGAAAGTGTAGTGATCCCTTCCTTTTTGAGCCCAGTCTGAAATGTTTACTTACGTGCACACACACTGAAAGCCAGCCTACTGAAAAAGCGTGAGTGTGTGCCTACACCAGAAGCGACCAGAAAAAAAATTCTGGGCAACTTAAGTTCTTGTTGATCCCAGATTAGATATTGGGAAAACTGGCATGGAATTTAACTGAAACAGCTGTAATCAGGATTATTATTAACATCAATCAGCACAATTCTCAGAATTTAAATCTGGGCCATCTATACATTAGCTTATTACAGACTAACAGTTGAAATTCACGGCCACCAACGTACGAATCACAACGGGTTATCAAACTTTTTTTTTTCTGTTCTTAACTACTATGTGCACATTCCAAGAACACATGGACAAGAATAAGAACTTCAAAGGACCCATCATACAACCATGAACCTTCCCTACGGCAATATGTGAACTTTAAAAGTTCTGCATGGTGAAGCCACAGCCAAGCAAGAAACTGGGTTCAGGGCAGAGGGGCAGTGCTGTGACATTAATTATGCTCCAGAGTGGCCTTTACTTATGCTTTGGTCATGCCACTTCTGACCTCCAAACCTACAGCGCTGCTTGTCCCTAACCAGCGTTTTACAGCACTGGAGGTCTGGAATGAGCAAAGAAGAGGCATGGAACATCCCTTTAAAACACCACCTTGCCTTGCCTTCCATAAACCTGCACTGCTATTGGTTTGAAAAAGAAGAAAGGAGGAAAGGAAAAAAAAAAAAAAAAAGAAGAAATGAGGAAAGGGGGAAAAAAAAAAAGGAGGAAAGGAAAAAAGTAAAAAAAAGAAAAAAGAGGGGAAAAGCAGGGGAAAGGGGAGAAAGGGGAAAAAAAAAAAAAGGAAAGAAAAAAGAACCAAACAAAAGCTCACCAAAAATAAATAAAATCATGCCATTGCCATAATTGTAGACATTCTGTAAAGTATTACATTCTTCACTGTTTATCCAACTTGTACACTAGTTGAAAACCTACAGTATTTGCTTATTTCAAAACACCACCAACATTAAAAGACATTATTTCATAGCCTTATTAGACACAATGATAATCTATTCTTACTAATGTACGGATGTCCACTGGCTGGTGTTCTTCGATATTTTCAAGATCTGCTATTTCTGCGTTTGTTGTTCTCATTTTTATCTGAAAAGAAAAAGAAAAGAAGTATTCTTAGCTCAAGAGAAGAGTTCACTTTTCTTCATTTAAGTCAACACAGAAAGCAAGACATTTGGTATTTAGTTTCATTAGTGCCTACAAAAGACAGAACTCTTCCCCCTTACCTACGTAATCCATTTTTGTAAGACGTAACTTGTTCTGAAAGTCACATAAACCAATTTTATTTTTCCTTCAAATATTTATCTTTAATTTGACTCCATGTCTCAGGTTTTTTGCTGGTTCTTATTTGTAATTTACTAAATATAACCTTATATAGTACATATTATCTTATACTGCCTAACCGTAACATCATTGGCCACCACAAATACATGTCCTACCTAGGTGTACTGGAGAACAAAGAAAGAAGACTAGTACTTGTAAAATGGTGTATAAAGAAATTAAAATTAAGAAAACTTAAAGGTGAAATATTCGGCATATTAGCATGGGTTAAGAATATAAATGAAAAGCTTCAAGAGAAACCAGATTCTGGGAATGAAGAGGCAAGGCTCAACAGAAATAAAGGAGGGGGAAGTAGGGAAAAGAAATTTGCATCAGATATTGCAACAATTTCCTATTTGTGCCAAAAAAAGCAGTAGAAATTTGTGAGATTCAGCACAAGAAGGTAAAAAAGAAAAACCCAAACAAAAAAAGATAACCACACAGAAACAACACGGTATGCTAGGATTAACGTGACCTCTATCATTCTGTCCTAAATGATGAAAGCGTACAACAAAAGTAAGGATAAACATTACAAACTATCATCCACTCAAAACATATTGCAGAAATCAAGATGAAATAGGGAAACACTGACCAGTTTCTAAAAACTAACACTGTACCTATTTTTACCTGTAGTGCTTTTTGGTGTTGCCGATGATCACGAAGATGACCTTCATTCTGCCTAATCTCATTTTCAGTGGAATATAAACGTTGCTGAAATGCTGTCAACTGTGCCATTTTGTTTTCAATTTCCTTCTTCAAGTGACTTTAGAAACAAAGCAATATTGAGATATTAAATATTATTACACATTTATCACACACACACAGAAATACACAAATAAAAATTAAATGCCTGACAAAGTGTAAAAATGCACTCCTCCCCCCCCCCCAAAAAAAAATCTTCAGTGTGTTATGCACTGGATGGGTAAAACAATCAATACAGAAACACTGAAGAACAGAACTTGTAGTTAATAACCAGCAGATAGCTGCTTGATGGTCCTAGTTCAATGCTTACTGGATAAACCAGTCATGTAATTTGAATTATCTGCAGCCTCTGTTAACAATTTATGCAAACATGCCAAATGTTTTAACTAAACAGTAGTGTTACTTCTAAAAATACTACTGTATCTTGAGAGAAAACTCAAGAGAAAATACTCTGAGTAGGACAAAACACTTCCAGTCAGAGAGAAAATGCATTAACAGAGATGTGAAAGAAAATGTATATATTCTCATAATTTTCCTTCTACAAAGGAGGTCATGTCCAGAGATTTCCATAATTAATTCTTTCGGTTTGTGGTAAAACTATTTCAAATGCAAAACAAAGCTATTTTAATTACTATTTACAGATGGCAAAACTTTTGATAGTCTCACCACTGCAAAAGAAAGGGAAGCTTTACTAATATACAGTAAAAACAAAAATAATCTTAATACAAGTGTTTAACCCAACTTTTGTTACAGATGCACAAAAAGATTGATTAAGTCTGACCCCGGAATCAGCATTTAATAAATGGCACATACTATTCCAGAAAAATGTGTAATTGCTTTAGTCTAAGTTCTGAAGGGGGTGGAGAGGGGGGAGGTAGGAAGACATTTTTACTTTTTAACTGGCCTACATCATTCCCCCACAGCCATATCGGTAATGAAATGCCTGTAACACTTTGGAAGTTAAGATGGTCTTTGAGTGAAGTTCATTATGTACTGACATGAACGAAGCACAGTTCACTGACATATTTAAAACTTCTGAGTTTACAGAAATAAATTTTTGAATATTCAAGTCAGTCTACACTACCCGCTATTAATACTAAAATTAACGTGTTTACTTAGTATGTCTGCAATATAACTTGAGCCTCAAAATAAAAGTATTCTACTGTCACCAATTTGCCTGGTGACAGTTCAGGTTTGTAAACTTTGAAATATGTTTGGTTTTTAAACCACCATTTTGAAAGTAATGAGGAAAAAACCCCTGAAAAATAAAATGGGGGCGGGGGGGAAGTCAAGTTTACTAGAGACACCTACAATAAGTGAAGTTAAAAACCTGAGAAAACACAGATTCAAAGTCTGAAACCTGTAGGACGATGTGTGCCAACACAGCTTTGGTTTGAATAATCAGGCTTCCTTTGCAGTAAACTACGATACCACTGTTCAGGCATTAGATTTTTAAGGAAACAGCTTTGACTCCATACTTGTTTCCAGCCAGTGTAAAATAGAAAGGAAGGTAGCTGGATATCCTGGAGTATTCAGCACAGCAAATCCTTCTTGCTGGGCAAGACTTAGATGCCACAAGCTGAAAAATACCAGGTACAACTCAGGTTTGTACAGATCACAGAAAGGCACTGAAACAAAGAGGATTTCCAGAATCCTGAGAAAGGAAGCGTAAATCTCAGAAAGAAAATGGAGTGACTGGAGAGTAGTGTACATGCAAACAAATACACAATTCCATTATTCATGTCGACAAGTGCAACATTACAAGATGCATACCTTATTTCTGCTTCAACATCTTTGCTTAGGAACTTGGGTCTTCGGTAATCAGAAGAGTAATACCGTCTTTGAAATACTTGATCACCTTCAGCAGTGAAAGCTTCTCTACAATTTCGTGGAGGCTGACTACACTGCATTACTTTACGAGCTTCATGGCTACTCTGAAAAATACAATGGCCTTATCATACCAATAGAAAAGCAACCATAATTAAAGATATCAATTTAAAACTTGTCTAGAAGTTCTCATCCAGAAATAATTTCAATTCTGAAAAATAAGAAATAGTTATGAAAGAATGAAAAAAAGTCAAGAATCTGCTTTTCTTAGCTGAGTAAGACATTCATGTTCTCGAAAACCACCCACTTAGTTTAGCTGTCCATTTCTTTTGCTGTATTACAAATTTATCTGCATTGGAAGTTCTGTAGTCTCATTGGTGCCTTGTAATTTGCCATGGGTAAAAAAAAAATTAAAAAAATCACTAACCAAAAAGTCACCATGCACAGATAATAATTAATTATCAAAAGTGGAATACACATACAGGCAACAATCTCCCCAAGCAAGCTGTGGAGAACATCAAACAATATTCAGTTAAAGTCTGGGTAAACATGCTGGTCAAAAAAAAAAAAAAAAAAATTTTAAAAAATCATTGCCAGTGCCAGACAAAGTGGTTACAAGTGCCTTTGTCTGAGGCAATCCTGTTATCCATTCAGAAGTGTCTTTTCTTCCACACAATACCCATTCAACTTCTTTCAGATTCAGTTGAAATTGTTCAGCTAGGGCTCAAAAATAACGTTATGAAAATCAGTGGTTAGGTAAGGCAGAGGGGGAAGAACAAGACTAGAATTCCTGCCATGACAAAAGCCTAGAAAGTTCAGCTGTTATGTATCCTGTTCAGTAACAGTCACACTTGGTAAACAGTCAGCTCTGCACTAGATGGAGCATGAACTGCCACTTTTCCAGTAGCAATGTCAGGGGACAAACTGGGACAAGGGGTTCTGGAGAAAAACAAAATCCACAAAAAGTAAGCATCATCAGTTCTGCTACTTATAGAATACCCTGCTTTCTTTAAATAAAAATATATACATCTTATTTTTATCTTTGAACATTTATCTGCAGGAGCTGGTATCTTCAGCAGAAACAGAAAAAAAAAATCAATTAAGATCAGAAATCATGTAGTAGCAGGAAAGTTTATTAACATGTTTTTAAGGTAATCAAAAAATAGGTTGTTACCAAAATAGTATATAATCTTAAGTCAACACCAGTTGTTAGTCACCTCATTCAAATCCTACTTAATAACTGATTATTGCTACTTTTTTTATTTTCCCAGACTCTATCCACAACTATGTTTCTTTGCACTCTCTTGTCTCAAATGCTTTAACACTGCATAGTCCCTGTGATTGCTGTGGTAGGTGAAAATTACATTAGATGTCAATGCTAACAGGCAGCCAATAATTTCATGCGAGAGTGGATGGCTGAATATCCAAAGGGAACTTCTGAACTCTCAAGCACAAGCCTGCTACAGCTACAACTGGTACCCAGCTGCCTGTACAACTGGTAGAGGCTGGTTGCAAATTTTGTTAACACTGGGACTACACAAAACTGACACTTCCTGAACCCACCAGTTAACAAAGACACATGAGACAGGGACAGCAGTTAGGAGGCTGATCACACACACATGGACTATTCAGACTGGGAAAACAGACCACTGAAGAGGCTGAGAAAGGTGGTGGTGAACATCCCAGAAACAAATAGGGAAGATCCTGGAAATACACTGGGAGAGATCTGCAGGGACAAATCCCAAGAAATGCCCAGGGACCTTGGCCAGGAAACAGCCAAAACAGGTATCTGTGGGCAGCTGCACAGCAGGAACTGGTAAGATTTTCCATCTGACCTTCCCTGACCAGCAGCGATCGCCCTGCTGGGGACAGAAGATGAGATCTACGAAGGCAGCGTTGGGGAGGGCGGAGGCAGGGAAACAAGCGTGTGGAAATAAGTATAAAAGCTCTAACCTTGCTGACTCTTAAAGAAATCCCAGTATCTAAATCCACTACGGCATGTCAGTTTACTCTGTCTCACCCATGAGAGAAAATAGTGTTTGAAGGGGCATACTGATAGTTTATTGAATGCCAAGAGGGCCTTACTGGGAGCCCTCCAGTGGTTACGTACGTGTGCTGCACTGTAACACCTCAGGGTCTACTAAGCCCTCAGTGTCCTCACCTCTCCTCGGGGGATGGGGGGCAGAATATAACAAAAATATCTTTCTCTACCTCTTTTGTCCATTACAGACACCATCAGTGAAGGTATCACATACGCTCTATACAAAGAGAAAACACTTTTCTTTAAACACCAATAGGGAGCGTAGAGCCTTACTTTAATCAGCAGGATGGTTTCTATACCCCTCACATCAATCAAACAATTGGCAACCACTGCATGATCTATTTCCAATGCTGTGAGAACCGATGGGAATTCTGGATGATGAACTCCTCTGAAGAAAACAAGAAAAACCACCATTCATAAATCTTATGTGAGATTCTTTAAAAAAAATTTACAAATAGTTCTTTTCAACTAATAATAATTTGAACCATCAAAGTTAAGTAATAAAATTCAAAACATAACTTACCTGTGTCTAACATCATAAATTTTATTCTGAAATTTATTTACAATTATTTGAGGTCTAAATCCACGTGGATAATATTTTGACATCAGTAGCTGAAGATTTCTTTCATCACTATAATTATCACAGCAAAATGCCTGAACTAGGCTCTTTAAACAAGATTCAACAGCCAAGGTCAGTTCAGCATCTTTCAGACGAATGAAAGCACCTAAACAAACATAAGAGACAAGGCTTTAGGAGCTGTGCTCCATAATAAAACATCCAGTAGTGCATTTTTACCATTCAAGGTTTTTGTTTTGTTGTGTTACAGGGTTTTTTAAGAGATAAAATAAACCCTTCTTGCAAGACAAAAAAAAAAAATAATTAAGAAGTTAACTAAAAGATAAAAAACTCCACAACAGACAAGCTACCCTGAGAATACAGATACGGAACCTCTCTTCCTATAGAGACCTACGCATATTCAGAGGCTTACATTTTCTTCTGAGATCTTTGACAGGTCACTACTAACTTCCATTAAGGTACCAATTTTATGGCAGGTCAGCAGGAGTATATCAAGGCAAAGACTGCTTATCAACAACTTAATGCTTTAAGGGTGAAAGCAGAGGAACAACTACGCTGTAAGTTAAACAAACACAAAGATTTCTATCATATCGCCTGTCTTCAGTGGTACGTGTGTTTGCACGTTCTTACCCTGCAGTAAATGCCAAGTACTTCAGTATTTGGTCTTTACAGTTACATTCAGAATATGCTGAAGCCACTGCTCCCATTCACAAACTGGAAATAGCCGTCACTGTCAGAGTTGGTCAAAAAACTAGTGAAACCAAACCTTCCAAGAAAATCTCAATTGTTCTGTCTGAGTTCACCCACACAAAACAACTCAAGTTTGACAAGCCCACAGGTCAGCCACTGAACGTTTGGAATAAAATGTGTCCAAGAGCCGGACAGTGCTATCCACCAAGGAACAAGCAGCCAAAGCACAGTAGTCTGATGCTTAGAAGGTGTGAAGGAGTTGCAGGGGTGCATTGGAAGTTTTGTAACTACAAAAAATATCTTAAAAACAGCTGGAAAATGAGTAAGAACAGTAGATGTTAGCTAGTTCATGTGATAAAAAGGACAGAAGCAAAAGATAAACTACCAGGATAAAACCTTTAGTCCAGGAAGTACAGAAGAAAGATGTATCTGAAGCTCCTTAAAGAACAATTAGTTTTTCTAAAAGATGTTTACATTAGCAGCCATGCAATAAACCCCATCAGGAAATACAGGTTTTTCAGCAGTTATTCTTACCTAAAGGTCCAATAGGTTTGTGTCTAAAGCGTCCTTGCCTATAGGCTGTTTCAATTGCTTCAAGAAATGCTGGTATATGTGGTCCAAATCTTTTCAAGGTATTCGTTTTACTGTCTTTCAGCTCCCTCAGCTGTTTCTGCTTGGCGTCCAGTGCTTGTTTTGCATCACATTCTTCTCTCCTAAGAGAACAATTTTTTGTTCAGTAGCAACAGCTTATGAAGCCTTAATTTGATTAAAATAATTGCAAAGTCTCATTTTTCAAGTATGAATAGGACATTGCATCAAGACCTCAATACTTCAAAGTACAGCTAGCTACAAACATGCAACAATATTTTTACAGTTTCAAGAAACATGAGACAAAAAAGAAAGAAAATTATTGCTTTGCAACAGTTTTACAAGATTTTTATTTCTAACAATTTATAATGAATTTATTTTATTTCTAATTATATGGTTCAATTTCACTGTCTTCTACAAAGGTCTTCAACAGAACACAATTACAACAATTGATTATAGATGTTTAAGCTAACACATCAAATGCAATAAGCAATAATTCTCAAATCTCTTAAGACAAATGACAACATCACCATAATCCCCTCTGGTAATCGTTGTTCAAGTTCAGGTTTCCAAATCAAAGACAAAGAGTGCTTTGTTTTCCTAGCTAATGGGCTAAACTGATACTTGAACCACTTGCTTCAAAGTCTATAAATTCGCCTTTAACTATACATACAATAATTACCCCTAAGTGTAGCTATTTCCTTATATCCTGTTATATAACTTGTGACATCGTATCAGGATGTACTACTGTCTTAAACAGCATGAAAAAATTTAAATTGTAGTTTGCCCACAGGATTATAAGAGAATAAGGGACAGATGGGGGGAGGAAGAAAGAAGGGCATTAAACTGACAGTATGGATTTATAAATTGGATTTATGGCTTTAAATTAGTAATACCTTTCATCTTTAATGACAAAACAGCTTTCTTAATTTTCCAAAAGTTTCTAAATGAAGTCATGCTGTGCCAAAGACAAAACTTTATTAAGTCCGAAGATAAACTAGAGGAAAAAAAAAAAAAACACAAACCAAAAAACCTGAAGCCTACTACCTCAGGGAATGCAGGTACATAAGAAGGGACCTCTTGCAACTTGAAACAAAGGAAAACAGTTACATTCAAGAAGCTTAACTTACCTAAGTCTAGCATGTTCTTCCTTACACTTATATATAGCTTGCTGAAACTGCTCCACCTGTTGACCAATCATTATTTCTTCATCATGGAATGCCTTTAACTGTTCCCTTAAGTGTGCAATTTTCCTCTGTCTTTCCAATTTTTCAGGCTCTGAAACCTGATTAGCACTAGAAAAGATCACACTTCAATATTTTAAAATGACATTGATGATTTATAAGTGACACAAACTTTGGTTTATTACCTGTATCACACAAAAGATTTATGCATAAGAAAGTTATATTTAAGATTCTGTGCATTTACAAGATCTACAAAGCATGAATACGTAACTCTCTCCAGTTACGCTCCTCTTACATTTAGTTTAAGGTATATTTGCTTTGCAACACCATGGAAGCTAGAAAATATCACCAATAAAATAAAAAAAAGCTTTTCTTCCTGCTCAATTACCTCATCATCTTCTAGTCAAAATCTTGGTATACAACTAAGCAGGACCAGAAATATCTGAATATTTAACTGGACCCTGCTAAAGTTCAAAAAAGTATTTTCTGGTACTGCAGATTTTCTCATTAATCAGAAAAGCTCACCCCCTGCATACCTATACCTTAATACACATACACATAATCACTATAGCCATATTTACCTGCTCTTCAGTTCTTCAATGCGTGTACGTAGCTGCTCATCATCTTTTTCCAGACGTTTCAACTCAATTTTGAAACGATTATAAACTACCTATGAAGAAAATAGGATATACTAGTTCAATAAATAGATGAAAGAAATAATTTCAAAAAGAACTACTCTTTTGAGTAAATAAGCACTGAGCTGCACCAAAACATGCAAACATAACTTGAATTTCCAGAATGTGAAATAAAGAAGAATAACAGGTTAAGGTGAATGGCATTTATTTTGACCTAAGCTTAATACCGCCTATTACCTGTGAAAACATATAAACCCCAGGGCCTCCGAACAGCAACTACTTGCAAGTGAGGCAGGAAACGGCACCTACACTGGCTGGACAGCCAGGCCCAGAGAGCGGTGACCAACGGAGTTAAATCCAGCTGGCGACTGGTCACAAGTGGAGTTCCTCAGCGGTCAGTACCGGGGCCACTTCTGTTTAACATGTTTATCAATGATCTTCACGAAGGGATAGAATGCACTTTAGTGAGTTTGCAGATGACACTAAATTGGGTGGGAGTGTTGATCTGCTTGAGGGTAGGAAGGCTCTGCAGAGGGACCTGGACAGGCTGGGTCGATGGGCTGAGGCCAGTTGTATGAGGTTCAACAAGGCCGAGTGCCGGGTCCTGCACTTGGGTCACAACAACCCCATGCAGCGCTACAGGCTGGGGGATGAGTGGCTGGAAAGGTGCCTGGCAGAAAAGGACCTGGGGGTACTGGTCAACAGCTGGCTGAACATGAGCCAGCAGTGTGCCCAGGTGGCC